GATGCGTACACGTGCGCGTCGCCGGTCCGTAAAACGGACGTAAAAGTCACGTTTATCGCGAGATAATGTCGGACTATTTAGCGGGACATTCCGTCAGCGTTTCCTCGCGAAATGCCTCCCCCGCCCCCCCCCCCACCCTGGCGGCCGAACGGCCATTCGCTTCTACTCGCGTTACAACTGCAGCGACACGTACGCGCGGAGCGAATGCTTGCGTGCTCTCGCAGTGGCGAGCGGGGTCGGAAATTGGCAGTTTAAGATCGAGAGAGAGAGTCGTTCTTTCTATTTTTTATTTTTTTTTTTTTACAGTAAACGTTTCGCGTTCCCTCGAACCGAAAAACACACGTCGTCGTGAGACAACGCGAGAAGAGGAGTCAAGAAAGAAATACTCATCTCTCTCTTCCTCCCTCTCTCTCTCTCTCTCTCTCTCTCTCTCTCTCTCTCTCTCTCTGCAAATCTAAAAGCACCATGTCCGGTTTCATTCGGCCATCGAAAAGTTGGCTTCGCGTGTGCACGTTGCCGTCGGTGTGTCGGTGCAACTGGGTCACGCACTCGCGGATCCTCCGCGCGCGCACTCGCGCGCGCAACACACACACACACACACACACACACACACACATGCATTCCGCTTCCGGTCGTGACGTCGTCGCTCTTCTCCGACCGCTCCTGCCCCAGACAGTACCGCGAGGTTCGTTGGCATCACCTCGAAGTGAAGCGCACCGGAAGCTGCACACGCGTTGCGTGGTCTCCCGTTGTTAATATCCGTCTCCGTTGTGCGCTCAATATCTTTAATATTGAAGAACGCGGCGCGCAACGTGAAAGCGAGACCGCGCTAGTCCCGAGTTCGCAAATTGAATGAAATGAAAACGAATTAGTCTACGATCCGTGGATATTTATTTTCTTTTTTTTTTTATTTTTTTTATAAATTCTTTCGAAAATATTTTTGTATGCGAGATTGTCGTTTCTCCTCGCACATCCGGAACAATCAACGGCAATGTCAGATGCATATCATCGCCTTTGATTGGAGCCGCGGCTGCGAGAAATACGCGGAGGTGCTCTTGACATCCCTGAAATCGCCGCAAAACTCGGCGAGCGCTCCGCTCCGCGAACCTGTTTCCCGCGGCGAAGCAGGCGTCCGTTTCCTGCCTTTCGCGATGCCTGCTCGTGGTTCTCATTGTCCGCAGTCGACGACGATATTCGAGGAACCGAAGGGGGTCGGCCGGATGAGATCGAGACGGTTTTAAAGGGCCCGTGCTGCGTGCATTCGAGTCGGGAATTAATTTCGACGCGTCGGCCCGCGTTCGCTATCGACTTTTCGCAATCTCTCGCAACTCTCTCCAGTTCGCCTACGACAGGCCGATAAGTCGCGAAGCTCTCGACGAAGGCGAACGAGCGCCACGTACGAGCTTTCGCACTGACGAAAAATATACTTGACGATTTAGCGGCAAGATTGTCGATCGAAATGTTCTTCTTCCCGAGTAACGCTCTGAGACGAGAGACGTCAAAAATGACGCGCGTGACGATTTCGAGCCGCGACGACAAAGTTTAAGAATGATATTCGATTCGTATAATACACTCGGCCAGTCTCATTACGTACGTTAATACCGGCGTTATCTAGCAAGGCGTAAAATCGAATAACTGATAAAACGTTTGCGTCATAGCGCCACCTGCGTCAGCCAGCCACGCACGGCCTGTTACGTAAAGATGAGTAACGTGCAATAGTCGAGAAGTACATAACATTGCTCGGTGACGCGAGATGTAATTGGGATGTAAACGCGGCCGTCCGGCTGAAATAAAGACTGACGCGGAGCCGAGGCGAAATCTTTACGTCGACGTGTAGATACGTGTGTGGATATCGTTGAAAGTGCAGATACGCAGAGGAACTGTAACTAATCTGTAACTAATCTGTGTAAATGTAAATAGAGACTAATTACATCGCGCAGAAGATGAAAAACGGACACGCCAGATGCGCACATTTGACGCAAAGTATTTCTGACTTTACAACTCCGCGGGAGAAATCGCTCGAAGATGTCGCGAGAAGCGAGCCGGGCGGCCGAGAGACAGTGGCGTTTTTGCGAGCGGAACAAATAATGTCTGGAAACGAACAGCTGCAATTCGCCAGCAGAGAACTTCCTTGCGCGCGTCCGTTTATTGCAACATTAAAAAACCGCCGACTCGTGGAGCGAACCGTGGACTCGCGTACGCGTTGCCAATCGGATCGCGGGCTCGCCGACACCGTGCGCGTAAACAAAGTAAAAAACGCGTAGGACAAAGAGAAGAAAAAAGCTATGCGGCTTATCTGAGGCGCCACACACAGAGAAGAGGAGATTCTTCGAGCTTGACTCGTTCTCTCGCGCTCTCGATTTCGTAATCTCTCGCTCCGTCTTGTATCAGTGTCCGATTGCCTGCCCGTCCCTCGTCCCTCCCCCCGGTCGCCTCATCCTCCTGTCGTTTCCCGACTGAATGGAGGCGTCAGAATTCTTATCGACCTCCCCGAGCTATTACGTCATACGCGCGGAGCCACGCCGCAAATCTGTTGTCCGCCACGAGAGCCGCTCGTTGCTAACTATAATTATACCGTCGCTGCCGCACACGATTGCGTCACACGGCATACCACTGGAATCCGTAACGCGAATCCTTTAAATAAATCCTTCAAATTTCACCGCGCCCGCAATTTCGGCGACGTTTCAGCAGCGACAACTCGCGACCGACGCCGATGATGCACAATTATCGATTTCCCGAGGTCCTTTCTTCCCTCTGTCCCCGTTTCATCTCTCTTCTCCTTCCCCGCGTGAGCAACTTGCGATTCATCTCTAATTACATCCGTAATCCCGGAGGATGCGTTTACGCACTTTTCACCGCGCTCTTTCACCGCGCGATTGAGTGCTCCGGGCGAAGCCCGGCTTTTTGCGTGACCGGCGAGGTAACGCAATAATAGACACAAAGTTGCAATACGCTGTGATACATTCAATCTCGCGCCGAATTTCGAACTTCTCAAGAGAGAGAGAGAGAGAGAGAGAGAGAGAGAGAGAGAGAGAGAGAGAGAGAGAGAGAGAGAGAAATAGCGGGCAGCCGCAGCGACGCGGCGCGCGGCGACTCGGTCGCTTTCGGAGCGGTCAACAATTTTTCAAGCCGTTATCGCGCCGCGCGTTAACGTCGGCGCTTATCAGCCGCACTCGCACACACGCGCGAGTGTGCGAGCGCTCGGTGTGTTGGCCGCGCCGAGGTCTCTTTAAACGCATGCACCGAGCGCGTGTTCTCCATTCGCGCGCACCAGCCGAGCTTCATTCACGTGCGCCCAACTGGGACCGGATGTCGCCCGACGTGGCAATTCGATCCGATACGACACGATAACCTGCCGGCGTTTTCGATCGCGCGAAGGTCACGCGGGGTTAAACACGAATTGCGAAGTGCGCGATCGCGGAGTGACGTAGCGAGGGGCGGAGAGGGAGCCAGCGATCGTTTAATTATCGCGTTGCGCGCGAGCGTACGGTATACTTATACCCGAACGCTAATACCTACCATGTAATGGCGTCGAATTAAGAGCGTTTGCAGAAGGTAACGGGATTTTCACGGTCACGTAGTCTCGCAACCGTTGCGGACGGAGCTTTCGCAACGCCGTCGACGTAGAAAAGCGCCGCGATCAATCGATTATCGTTCGGTCTTCAGTCGCCCGCGGGTGGCCAGCTGCTCGCTCCTCCAGCCAGCTAGGAATGGCGCGGCTGGCCGAAATATTTCGGCGATCATCGATCTGTCGATACGCCGAGAGGCATCCGTGAAGCGAGATCCGCGCGAGATGCCTTCTGTTAGAATCGTTAGCCGTGCGTGTCCGCCCACTCATCGCCACCGCCACACACGTTGTCGTCGCAAGCTCCGTGCACAGTCGAGCACTTCGCTCGGGAACGGCGGCTACCCGGTAACCCGAAGGAAGTGCCCACGTCGGCTCGGATCGACACCCCCGCGGGCGATGTTTCTCTCTCGTCTGTACTCGACCTGGGATAGCGAGAGAGAGAGAGAGAGAGAGAGAGAGAGAGAGAGAGAGAGAGAGAGAGAGAGTGGCCGTCGTCGCGCGATAACTTCGCACGATGATATCGAGCAAGGACGGCCACCGGATGGACGTTGCTTTACGCGATCGTGCTAAGACTGCGCAAACGCATAAAGGAAGCTAATAACGCTCGCGAGTGAAGGCTAAAGAGGACACGGGAATGCATTATTCGCCGTCGCAGGCACCGCCGCGGGTACTTCTCGCGAGCGCATCCTCCGGCAAGTGCAGCAGCGCCATTGAAGATAGAAGAGAACGTTCCTTCGAAACCGCCGCCTCTTCCCACACACAAGGGACACATCCTTCATCCCGTCCGGGCCCGTTCGCTGTCGTTAACAATGACACACGGATATGCAAAGTGACGCTTTGCTGAGCTTCTGCTCGCAAACCGCGGAAAATGATGATCTCGTGACGTCATGAGACCTTCGCGTCGCCGGTCTCTCCGTCGCCGCCGCGCACGACGAGTCGTCGCACGGCGGCGAGAGAGAATGACGGAGAGAAACAGAGAGAGCCGGCTCAGTAATGAATGGATTAAACAGCGTGACGTCACAGGATGGATTATATAAACGGTGGCGCGCGTGACATCGGACGTAGGAAGGAAGTTCGCTTCCTTTCGTACCTACAAGGTATTCCGTTCGTGCGTGCGTGCGTGCGTGCGTGCGTGTGTGTGTGTGTGTGTGTGTGTGTGTGTGTGTGTGTGTGTGTGTGTGTGTGTGTGTGCGCGCGCGCGCGTGTACGCGTGTGCATGTGCGGACCGTTTCTCGTTGCCGCTGAGGGGTCGCGTTCATTTGAAAGCGGACGAGCTCGGTTAGAATCCTAATGACGACAGTGCCGCCCCTTTTCAGCTCCTGCTCGATACGCTACTGAGCCGCCGTCGAATACTGTAGCGCAGCGCGAAATTATCGTCCGCCGATCACGATAATTTGCACGTTCTAATTGTTGCTCTCGCGTTTGCTTTCAGACGGTGCGCGTCTCTCGTGCGTGTCTCTCTGCTGCAACGACGCCGCGGCGCTCTCGGACGAGAAGGTGAGTTCCCTTCGTTCTCTCCCTTTCTCTCTGTCTCTCTCTCTCTCTCTCTCTCTCTCTCTCTCTCTCTCTCTCTCTCTCTCTCTCTCTTCCTCCCTCCCTCCCTCCCTCCCTCCCTCCCTCCCTCCCTCCCTCCCTCCCTCTCTCTTTTTATAATATATTATAAATATACAAATAGGATAGTGGCTCGGCACGCGTCGTGTCTAGTTAACAAATTACCGATGATAAGCCCGCGAGCTGCAGTCTCACACTTTCCCGCGCGTGTTTACGGGCCGCAGACGAAATTTTCTCTCGACAACTTCCTCTCGCTCTCGCCCGTTTCTTCGTCCCCGCTGCTCTCGCTAGGATTCACCGGCCGCTTATTAGCTCGTAGTCTGGGAGCCGTCTGCGGGTCGACGTCCGGCGTCCCGGAATAGAAGCGCCGCGATGCTCGTTACATTCTGTCACCTACGAGAGAAAGAGAGAGAGAGAGAGAGAGAGAGAGAGAGAGAGAGAGAGAGAGAGAGAGAGAGAGAGAGAGTCATTCGCGTTGGCCGAACGCGCTACTGGGTCTCGCGATTTCCGGATCGGGTCTGCGCGTCGCGACGGAGAAGAGGGTTGTTGTAGCCGCATACGGCTGCGCCGCGCAAACTTCCGAATCCTCGCGGTCCTCCCGTCGTCGCGCGCGCGCCAACGGCCGTTGCCTCGAGAGACCCCGACCGTAGATCTTGCTTCGGCTCGCGATCGCCGCGCGTTTCTTTTTCGGTTGCATCATCTCGCTCGGCTAAGCCACCCTATTTTTTTTGCCCCGGTCAGCCGGTAATACGTCACGATGATCACGTCCCCGAGACCGGTTAACAGTCATCCTCCTCGAAGGGCAGGTGCGTAGTAGGTACGCTTTGTACATAAGGGAAAAGGGCAGCTGCTTGTTCCTAGACACAAGGAGGCGAAGGGCGAGCAGCAAGAAGAAAGGGGGGGAGGGGAAGAAGAAGGGCGAGAAAGAGAGGTTGCTCGCTGCTAAGGTAAACGATATAATGGGGACGTAACAGTGGGTCCTTTTCAGTGGCAGATGTCCTGGCCGAGACACGTGCCCGCGACGTGGTCTCCCTTTTTTTTCGGGGCATGCGGCTCCTTCAGCCCCCTTTCGCCGCGCTCGTATCGCGCTCGAGGAGGAACGAGAGCGGAAAAGCCTCGAATGCGACCAAGAGTCCCCGTTTTGGCAGAATCGCGCGCGCGTCACTTCCTTCCTCCCTTCCTTTCCTCTTTCCTTCCTTTCTTCCTTCCTTCCTTCCTTCCTTCCTTCCTTCCTTCCTCACTTTCTATCGGTGGGTTTCCTTTCCTTGGCCGGCAGGGACCAGCTGTTCTCATTATACAGCGGATTTTGCACCGACGTAACGGCAACAAGTCCGTTGCTTCGCGTTCCATTGTACTTGCGCGGCAAGATCTCGCCTGTGTTTTCTTTGAGCAGCGGTCTCATCCTGGGAATGTTGCGCGATTCGCGAGAGAGAGCAACCTGAAAACTTTGACCGTGCAACCCGAAATATTTGAACCGCGCTGGATCCCGTCTCGCGCGCACGCATCTTTGCAGCAACGTCCGTCGCGATGATTTTGTTTTTAATGAAATTCCTATAAACACACACACACACACACACAACACACACACATCGAGCGTCTGTAAGCATACTTGACACCGTGTCGTCGTCTGAGAGCCGCTGCGCGCCGTGCGACTTTTTGAGTCGCTTTGGTCCCACGCCGGGACTATGGACGCTGGCGTATACCACGCACGCACGCACGCACGCACGCACGCACGATGCGCTCGCGCGCGGTTACGCACATACGCCCACGGCGCGGCTCTGCGCGCGCTTTGCACACACCGCTGCTACATTATATCGAGTGCACTCGCGAGAGCGAGTCCGCGAGAGTGCACCCGATATATCGTTCGAGGCGGTCGCCGTACCTGCCGCCAGGTACTTGCCAGGTCTTACTTGCCGAATCATCGCCGCGGCGATCTCCGAAATCGCGTGAGCGAGAGGTGCCGAAGGTGAGGAGCGTTGAGAACCCCTGCGGCTACTTCGTCGATTCTACTTGGACTTCCTTCGACCCGAATGCAGTGACCCGTGCTAACGATCGCGAATAGCAACGATCGATCTCTCGGGCGATCCGGGGTGCTGCGCCGAGTGAAAAGTCGAAGACCTCCCTCCTTCCGCACGTGAAAGCCCCTTCCCCACGTCGGAATTCCGTCATATCCGAGACGAGCAATTTCTTCGGAACATTTTTTTCCTTCCTTTCTTTCTCTTTGCTCGTTCCGCTCTATCTCGTCTCGCACACTGCTGATCGGCGCCGTCGTCGCGTCGGTGTCGATGGCTCTGAAAATATTCGCCGGGGAATGGTCCGCGAATAAACGCGGACGGGAGAAAAATGTGACGAAGAGGAAAAGGAGCGGTCAGCTGGGACACGATTGCGAAATGTTTAGGCGACGCTCTCTTTTTCTTTTTTGTTTTTAAAACTCGTCAGACTCGCGCGGCCGTTTGTGAGAAGACGGGCGGCGGGCGTCTTCATCACGGGATGGATGCGTTCACGTCGCTGACTGGATCCGACTCGGCTTGACTCGATCTGACGATCGCTCTCGTGATTCGCGGCAATAACGGAAATTAACAGTCGCGAATGATTCCGTGAGAAAAGTACGGCGGGGACCAACCAGTCGCGAGAATGTATCGCATTCGCGAGAAACGCAACGTCCGAGCACGCGAAGCGCGCCTAATCCATTATGGAGCGACCGTCTCGTTTAAAAGCTGCATAGCCTGACAGTGACACGGTATAAGACATCGGTGTACGAAGATGAGCGATTTTTCCATTATTCATGCGGATTATCGATAAATTATAATAATAGACATCGATAGTCTCCGAGACTCTCTCGCTCTCTCTGTCTCTCTCTCTCGCTCTCTCTCTCTCTCTCTCTCTCTCTCTCTCTCTCTCTCTCTCTCTCTCCCTCTCCCTCTCTCTCTCTCTCTCTCTCTCTCTCTCTCTCTCTCTCTCTCTCTCTCTCCGTCGGAGCATCTTGTCGCGTTCGATTTCCGAGCGCTGGACGAGTCGCCGCCACGCTCCGACGACTCCGATATTACGAAGTGATAGAGTATACGCGTTTTGACAATAAGCACGCGTTCTCGGTGACTGTCGCCCCGTTGTGATTCGCGCCGTTGTGTGTCGCGACGTGTCGGACGGCACGGCGTCTGGCCGACGCTACAATAAAAGACTGGCTGAAAACGAGATCCGTGCGAACGGTGGGTTTCATTTTCCGAGCCGCGTATGTATGCAATATGTCGCGTCTCGATAGCTCGTCTAGTTTTACCGGCGTCATGGAGCTACGGTGACGAAACGAGACGTTACTTTGTCCCGGTGGCGGCGGAGACACTTGTATCTCGGTGTTCTCGCGTGCGCCTTCTAAAAATACCCGCGGGTGCCTGTCGCTTGCCAAAAGGTTATTATTCACGAAAATACCGCGTGACACAGAATGCATCTCAGAAGCGGGCAGATTAGCGGAACCGAGTGGCGGGCCTGTAAACTCCTTTACTGCGCTTCGCGAAAGGCGAAACCTTCGTGGCGTGGTGAACCCGTCGCGTTACCCGAAAATGCTCTTAAACGCTTTCGGCTAAGATTATCCGCGGGACACGTAAAAGCGCCTCTCAAAACTGGCGATTTGTCTGTCTCACCTTCAAAGTTATAAATGGCGACGCGGGGCCATCGAGCGGTTACAGGGCTTTCCATTTAGGCTGCAATTTTCCTTGATACTTTGGAAACATGCGAGGAATATGTCGGAAATTTCATATGTCCTCGCGAGGGGTGCGCGTTTGGCGCACCTCGCGAGGACACTGCTCGTGCTCGTTGAAAATATGAAAACCAAGTGATTTCACCCCGCGGAAAAATCGCGAATGCTGAATCGGAACGTGCGATGTCTGAAACACGTCTGAAGCAGCGAGAAACGCGACGACATATTATTAGCAACCGCACGCACCTCCGCGAGTAATAACCAGCGCATCCCGACAGAGACGAGAGCAGAGTCCTGCGACGTCTGGCCGCAGGCTCGACAGGCTGTTGCTTCGGCTCGCAAAGTTCAGCCTCCACGAGGAGGCTGTCCGTTCGCGCTTCGCGACATTCAAGAGGCTCGATTGACGGCGAGTGCGATCGCAATAAAATACGCGAAACGCATACCGCGAGTGGTTACGAGCGCTAACGAGCGGATAGCTAAGGATATCTCTGCGCCCTCTCTCGCGGACTCTCTCCGCCGGCTGCAAACGAGCGAGGTCCTCGAAAATGCGCTTCAGCTTGCCATTGAAATTGCAAAAGTGCTCGCGCTTCTCGCGCGATGAGAGGGAGTTAGAGTTAGAGTTACAGAGAGAGAGAGGGGGGGTGAGAGAGAGAGCGAGAGAGAGAGAGAGATACAGGCGAGTATTCCTCGCACAAAATTGCCTTAATCCTCTTAACCGATGATGTATGGATCACCGGGATTCCGAGCATCGCATCGCCTCGCAGCTCCGTAAGTTACCGTCGCGCGAATTTGCGATATACAAATTGGACGTGTTTCCTTTATGATTTATAATTAAGGAATACGATTGACAAATTGCGCGTATCTATCTGCGGTGATTCACTCGGGAGTGATAAATCGCGCGTGAAATGCCTTATCGGCGGGAGGTTAGACGCGGCGATCCCGGCGATCTGCGATCGGCAAATTTTGCGTCAGTATCCCGGCGATTCTCGACTTGATCTCGATCATGCTCGCGTGACTGACGGATTAAGAGTACTCGCACTCGACGCCCTTGCCTTGTTGCGCGAGAAATGAATGCCACCGTCCTTACGCCGCGAACGCAGCCGGCTTACCGTAATCGGACCGTCGCATTGTGTAATATTAAACTGAGAGAATCTAATATAGACTGATGAAACGGTTCCGGCTCGCAAAGATACGTCCTTCTTCTCACAGTATCCTCTCTCTCTCTCTCTCTCTCTCTGTATCCTCGTTTTGAGTG